CATGATAGCAGGGGCACTCCAGAGAGCAAATGGAGTACCCCTGCTATCATGAGAAATGGGGTCTTGGTGAAGAGCAAAGTTCTCCTCTGCTAACCTCTCTGAGCTTCTGCAGGTGGGCAGCCGGGGCTTCAAGGGAAGCAACTGGTTTCCCGAGAGGCTCAGATATTCCATTGTTGCAGATCCTCAGGTGGCTGCTTTGTAAGCTTGCCTCTTCAGATACTTCCAGTTAGCTTGCTCCAGCTTCTCCTGCAGCCAATTTTATTAGAGGGCCTCAATGAAAAATGAAGGGAGGCCTTGTCTCAACTATAGGTCTGTACTAGCTCCCAGCATGTGGAAAACTAAGGCAGTTGGGCCACCGGGAGTGGAGCTAGTCCATTTAGTGGGGAGGACAATAATGAATGTGAGAATTTCTATTCAGAGAGAGGTCAGTAGTTAATGGGTCATTGGAGGTGGCAACAGGCAAAGTGATTTGAGTAGGGATGTAGTTTGGAAGAGCTGTGCATGTTTTAGCATTTTTAAAGCAAAATTATCACCCTCAAACTCAGGATGACTCATTTCTTAGAAACAGAGAAAGTATATTTCCCCTTTCTAAGCTTGGGTTGAGTTGCACCCTTCTCTGTTTGAAGAAGGGTGCAACAACTCTTAAGTTCCTGTTGGATTTCCCCTCCGAGATTTAGAGGGGAAATCCACTCTAAGTTTGTAAAGGGTTCTACTTTTGGGATTAAGATGCTGTTGTTGGGCCCTCGTTAATGAGTTATTTCCTGGGATAATTTTATATATAATTAAGTAGATCAGTAAATAGTGCTTACCTTCTTGTATTGTTGCTTAACTCATTTCTGTGTTGACACTTGGCCACTAGGACGGAGACTTTCCATCACGGGGGTCCTAGAGAGCTGCCTTTTTATATAGCTTCATCATACGCCAAAAAGGGGACAAGTTGTCTGGCCAACCTGGGGAGATCCTTCTGCTGAGGACTCCTTCCTTTGAGCCAACTCTAGGAAAGGGAGTTAAAGGAAAAGTGCTTTCTCTTTTGTGTGCGTGAGGTTCACGCCAAAGCCCGGAAGACAGAATTTAATAAAACTGTGAAAATCGTAAGAACAGAAGGTGTAGCTTTGCAATGACCACTCAAACATGTGTGAAATCCTTTAGTGAGAAATTCCTTTTTAGAATTATGCAGCCCAATATCCTGATTTGAAAACGAGTTTATTTCAGACAAGGAGTGAAGGACACCTGGCCCAAGATACCTCGCTGCCTTGTGGAAATGCTGACCAGACTGGAGGTTGAATCTTGCTTCTGCACCGGAGATAGGACAATATTCTTCACAGCCCCTAAGGGCAGCAGCAATTTATTTGGGGGGTCAGGATGACCTTGGTGGTGCCCCTGCTCCTCAGCATGGTCACCTCACACTAATGGGCAACCATCACGTACAGAGAATTCCAAATAAAATCAGCTTAGCTGGACTAGCTGCATGCCACCTGCTTGAGTAGAATCTTGTATTTCAGAGAATATACAGAGTTCAACGAAGAGAACCTAAGAGAAACCATCTTGCCCTCCCGATCAGAAATCCTGAAAGCAAAGAAACATTTATGGTGTGAGACATTCTTTTTGTCTAGTGGTGTAACAGCTTCTATCTGCAATTTTACTGAACCCACCAATGGATCAGAAAACTGTTTAGTCCCCGAACCCGCCTTCTTAAGGACTCTAAATGCATTTCTCACAAAAGCTGGCTAGTTCCAACAATGCAGCCCATTAAAAAAAAGATTTTAGGGTGAAAATGTTACCTGGAGAATAAAAGATGTTATAGGACTATGGCTGAGCTGCATCAGGATATAGGCTGCAGTAACAGAAGCACCATTTTATTCTTCATAGAACAGTAGAGTTGGAAGGGACCATGAAGGCCATCAGGTCCAACCCCCTGCTGTTGCAGGTCACCAAATTACACCATCCCACTCAGAGGGCTGTCCAGTCTTTTTTGAATGTCTCCAGTGCGGGAGAGCCCACCACCTCTCCAGGCAGCTGGTTCCATTGTTGTATTGCTCTGACCGTGAGGAAGCTTTTCCTGATGTCCAGCCTGAATCTGGATTGTTGCAGCTTGACTTGATTATTCCATGTCCTGCACTCTGGCAGCAGCAAGAAGAGATCTTGACCTTCCTCTTTGTGACAGCCTTTGAGGTACTTTCAGGTGGATATCATGACCCCCTCAGTCTTCCCTTCTCAAGGCTGAACATGCCCAGTTCTGTTTACATGAAAGGGGTCTGTCCCTCCATGAATCCTGCTGGAAGGTAGAGGAGGAAGGTGCCATTCAATGATCCCCCCTGCCCCCACAACCTTCCCTGTGACCCCTGAAAACGTGCCTCAGAGGGTTGGAGGCCCACCAGGACAGTGGGAAGGAGGCCCTAGTGCCTGCAGGAGGAGGAGCGAGTCAGCCAAGATCTCGCTGGCTTCTGCCACCTGAAGCAGGACTCTGATCAAAGGTTGCCCCCAACTTTTAAATGCCATCAATACCTCTTGCTTGCTGGGATCAGCTTCCCCAGGTGGCTTGTCGGAGCAGACGGCCTGGTTTGTGAACACTTTCTCCATCACCAGCCATCAGTAGAAACAACTCCTGGTGTTTCTGCAGAGACTTGTGGTCCACTTGGAGTCCAATCGGAGAAGTGCCTTCACAGCTCCCTCTGTGAAACTTGGGCCGATGATCAGCCAGGCAAAATATTGCTCTTGGTGTCTGCTGAAGACGTTATTTAAAAAAGTGCTTCCTAAAGGTTTCAATAACAACTTTCAATGAGCATCCCATTTTTTTAAAGGACCACTCAGGTATTTTGTTACGACAGAGGAGGCTGCCTTCTACGGAACCAGACAATGGATTCATCCAGCCCAGGATTTTCCCAGTAGGAATGAGCTTAAGACATGGGTGTTTGGCAGGAACAGACACCCTGCCGCTGACCTCTGGCCCCTCTGTGGAATGAGGAGCAGTCTAAAAATCTTGTACATAGGTAAATAAAAAAAGAATAGGCTTTTCAGCGGCTATTCCACTGCCAGCATAACTTGTGAAAAGGGAGCTCCGTGGTTCAGAGTGATGGACAGTATTAACTTGCACAAACTTAATGTTGATCCAGTACATAGCCAATGTTAGAACTCCTAGAAAAGGTGCACCGCGATCACAAGAAATTCGGTAGTAAGCTTCTAGCTACACTTACCATCATCCACTCATCGATCTTGAGTCCAGCTGGGAACTACGCTCAACCTCTGCAGCCTTTCTCCAAGTGCCAACCCCTCTAGATGCTCAGAGGGTGGCAACTGAGGGGAGGGGAGGGCCTGATCTATGGTGGCCCCCCCCCCACCTCTGCCTGGTGCTAAATTTGCCATCTTTTCAGCACCAGGTTAAGACAGCCCTCTTTACGGAGGCCTTTAAAGACCTCTCTGGTCATTCAGGGGTCTGACACCATTTCCTTTTATTTTGGGCCAGGTTGTTTTATTGTCTTTTCATTTTTATTATGTTAAACATTATTTTTTTAAAAAAATCTTGTTAATGTTTTTATCTACTGTAGTTATTTTTATACTTTGTTGTAAACCACCCAGACAGCCTTGGCTACAAGAAGTACAAAAATGAAATAAATAATAATTTGAATGTTATTTCTGCAGCTATTTCTTGCATTTTTCTGTACTTTTAATGTCAACTGCTATACAGCTCCAATTCACAAACCGACATAGATAGTTGGTAGTGGATCAGAGTGGGGAAAGGCCGAAGAATGGCAGTAAATTTGGAAATAGCCTGATTTTCAGTGGGTGTACATATGGAAGTGGCTAAACCCAAGATGCAAAACTGGGTTTCTGTTGACTGCACAAGTATATGCATTTGGAAGTTTGCAACACTCTCCTGCAGAATTCCTGTGAGAGGTTAGCAATGTGGCCGAAGCTTTAAAAGTTTTGAGTAGAATGAAATAGTAGTGGAGTTGGAAGGGTCGTACAAGGCCACTGAGTCCAACCCCCGTTCCACTTCCACATGTGCTCACCCATCCAGCTGCAGGCTTGTGCCTTTCCTGCTGAGCAACGTGACTTGACATGCTGGGTCAAATAGTCGCTTAAGTGACGCAGGTCACAACAGAGACAAAATGCAAAGTAAAAGAACAGCCGCTTTCTCAAGCCAAGTCACACATCACAGCTGAAGATGGTCCCCTCCTGATCAGTGGCCAAGGTCTCCAACAATCAGTGGTCTCTGTCTAGGAAGAACAATTATTCTCTGATCCCAAATGTAGGATACAGTTGGATCTTGAGCTGGGCAAAAACTTATTTAGAGTCTGTTGCCCCCAAATGAAATTGCACCTAACTTTCAGAAATGTTTGCTGCTAACTCCTGATGTCCCATGGGATAAAGAAAATAAAAAGTTTCCATGTAAGGGAAAATCCTTAGTTTCTAAATGTGCACACAGAAAAGCAGGATTCTTCCCATACTGATGTACAGGTTTGCAACTTAACAGGGCAACAGCCTCCCTAGAGTGGTAAAAATGCACCACCTTGTGGTTGGAGAACTGAGAAGCAACATTATTAAAAGTCTTGCAGACGCTTTTACAAGAATCCTGGTTCGGTTCGACATGTTGGTAAGCACTGCCCACATAGCAAAAAGGTATTATGGTTGGAATGTGTGTTTGGAAGCCATGATAGGATTAACTACACCACAAATAGCCCTGATCCAATGGCATTTATCCCATTATCCCAAATAACGCATTTCCAATCACGTTTATTTCAGTGCTGGACTACATTGCAAATGCAAGAGATATATAGCATTCTCTATATATTGAGAATGCGATGGATGTTCCTGGCATATTCCAGGAATGTTTTGCTCTTACTGCTGTTGGAGCAGCAACAGTGGCCTGAGCTTTCCTTGGATGGCTGGGGATGATGGCCTCCACATCGCCTGGCGTGGGCCCACAGTATCCTCTTAGAGACCATGGACCGCATCCTTTACATACGTACAAACCTTCTGAGACAAGAAGACTAAAACCCTTCAGATTAATGCACTTTTTATTTTTATATGGAGAGGCACATTGGTTTTCTCATACTTTGTTTCTTAATAGGGAACAAGGCACACTTTATGCAAAATTTGCTTGACAGTAACCTGCATTTTCTATCAATGCAAAATTCCTTGTTGACCTACATTTAAAAAAAGTCTTTCACTGAGACAAGGCAACAGCTTGGAAAACAATATGGGTAAAATAACTGGCTGCAGGTACATCTTTGCTGTGCTGTAAGGTATGCTAGGTAGATCCTTGGGGTTTTCATATTTATTCAGGAAAAATTATTCTTATTATGGGATCAAAGCTGAACTCAGCAGGAGGCAGCAGATCAGTTATAATTATAGCTGCACTTGCACAGCAGAATTAAAGATTATCTTTGCTTTTTGTCTAGTCATTTTCTTCACTTTGCCAGATCATTAATACAAGTCAGTTTTTGAAGCTGCACACAAGCAGAACCATCATCTTCCCTTCGAATTGTTCGAGTTAGCGTGTAACACGTGGTGTGGAGCTCAGCATCCGTCCACCGGAGGCTTTAGCATGTCCTTTAAGCTACATTCTGGATGATGACCGCTATCCCTTGGCCACCGCCAATGCAAGCAGAACCGATGGCATATTTACCTCCACGGCGCCTGTAAGAAAGCAAGAGAACTGTGATAATATAACAAAAAAATTGGATTATGGTATTTAAAGAAATGAGAGAAATTTTGGATATAGACTTAGAAATGTCACCGAGAATTGTGTTATTACTTTTGATTGAAAAACAAGATATAAATGAAGCTAAGAAAGAATTGACTGTAAGTTTGATAACGGCAGTTAGGCTAGTGATAGTTACATAGTGGAAACAGAATTGGGTTTTGCAAAGGCATGAATGGTATAATGAAATATGGAATGTGGCAATTAATGATAAACTGATGACAGAAATAAAAATTAAAAAAGGGTTAATGAAAGCAAGTAAATATAATGAAATTCGGGAAGTTTTTGTAAAAGCAATACTGATAGAAGGCAAAGCAAGATTATATGAATTTCTGGAGGGGATATGGATATAATTGAAGTATATTATAGATTATTAATTGTTACAATATGTGAATTAAGTGGTGGTACTATTGGTCTCCAGGGTGGTGGGGGTACTTTTTTACTCTATAATTATTGTGTTTTTGCTATGTTATATTATCATTTCTGTGCTGTGTTGTATTTATGCTTTTTTTACTTCTGTTTAAAAAAATAAAAAGGGGGGAAAAAGCAAGAGAACAAAGAAGATCCCTAAATAGCTCTGGGAGGCCACACCTGTGCCACCTGTTCTGCATTCTGAAGGGTTTGGACAGAAGGTGTAGCCTTTTAGCTTCACAGGAAAGTCCACAAAACCTGATGGAAGTGCCCAGAAAATTCCTACATACACTCCCCAGAGAGGGTCACCTGGTGCCAATGTTATTTTCTTTCCGGTGTCAGGCAAAACTCTTTATTTTCCCGCTATTTTATGTTTAATTGATTTTAACTGGGGTTTTAGTATATTAATGTTCGGATGCTGTGGGGTTTTATTCTACTCATTTCAATTGTTAAAACATATGATCTGGCCTGGGCAACTTCTTCTTCCTTCTCTTTCTCCTCCTATATTTTTATTTTATACTGATAATTTTAATTTTGTATTTGTAAATCAATGTATTTTTTGTATTTTTATATTTAATGGTAATTTATTATGTACTATTGTATTTCAATGTATTTTATCATGTTGTAAGCCCCCCGAGGTTTCGGCAAGGGGCGGCATAGAAATGTAATAATAATAATAATAATAATAATAATAATAATAATAATAATAATAATATTGTAAGCTGTTCCGAGACGTTTGTAGGGGACGGGATAGAAAAGCTTTTAATAAAGAGATAGATAGATAGATAGATAGATAGATAGATAGATAGATAGATAGATAGATAGATATGATTAAGAAAAAAAAAGAACTTCCACTCACACAGGACTGGGAGAACGGCTTCCTCAAGTAAACAAGCAGCTGGACATGCTCAATGGAGGGAGGAGAAGAGACCAGCCAGTCCCAACTCACCTGTCTTCAGATGAACTCCAGGTGGATGCGCAAGACTTCAAGATGGTCTCCTGGCCAGACACTGGCCAAACTCAGACCTGTTTAGCTTTAGCAGGGAATGCTTTCAGACCACAGCCCTGGGACCCAGACTTAAAGCTCCAGGGGGTTTGCCCCTCCAGGTTCTTCATGTTAGATTCTGTGCATTAGAAGCTTTAAAGGCTGAAAGCTGCTCCACCTACATGCTATTTTACTTGGTGAGATGATCCAAAGCGTGTGTTCGGTCTCTATGCTAGGCATTCCAGGGTATGGAGAGAGAGAGAGAGAGAGAGAGGGAGAGAGGGAGAGAGAGAGAGGGAGAGAGGGAGAGAGGGAGAGAGAGGGAGAGGGAGAGGGAGAGGGAGAG